TGTAGCAGTCACTAGTTTAGAAAAGTATTCGGCAATTGAGCAACTTTTTTAACACCAAAAGCTTTTCATTCTTTGAGTATAAAATTTAAAGAAGGCCTAATTTGCTATCAAACAAGTAGAAGAAATAATTTTTTCCTACATGTTTTTCATAAAATATACTTGAATTTATAAAGACAGTCAAAATCAATGATAAAAAAGGCATACTACTTAAGTAGCCAGTTTTTTCAATAGATATGTTCTGCTAGTGGTCGGAGCGAAACTCGTTAAAAAGCCCGCATCCTAGTATGACTGAAATGACTTCAGAATAGACAACATGTTGCATGATCTTTGGCGTCTACTGTATTGGTCTTTTTCACTAGACGGAGTACGTAGTCGTTTTCGCATATTCAGGGTATCCGACGCGGCTTGGCTTGACGTGTTCTTGGCGTAAAATCGCATCATCGGTTGCCTTTCTCAATAAGCCAAAGGTACAACCCATCACCACCTCTTATCTCCTGACTTAATTTCAACAAATCATCCTAGGTACTTTCATCAAACGGGGATTTATACATCTGTCTCACAATAGTCAAGGCCCGTAAAATAAATTTACGTTTTCTGATGTAGATCGACGATGCTTGTCCCGGAGTCTATTTGTTGCGTCCTTTAATCAACATGCTGACTAGATCTACTTTGAGGTCAAGATCCTTTTGGCCACCGTTGAGTTACGACTGGTTGAGAATAAAGGCGAAATGATTGGCGAAGATTCAAGTCTTCTCTCCAGTAAAGGGAAAGTGCCCCAACCTATGGTATGGCGAGCGCTGCAAGTAACATTCGTGGCAAAATTCGACTTGGTAGTTAAACGTAAATTTGGTCAGGTTATTTTGATCCACTAAGTGGATTTATATTAACGAGAAAGGCTTTTATATAGAAAATCTGCCTTTTTAGTTACGTTTATTGAGGGTAATGGGTACTCATTTTGGCTAAATCGCGAGTAACTTTTTTATGCTATTAAGTACGACAGAGACAAAGGTTTTATTAATAAAGTAATTAACTAAAATAAGAAAATCGTAAACAATGTCCCTTTTAGAACGGGGAAATATAGTCTGAAGTTGCTCAAATGCAAGAACTGCCAAATTTAAGGAATCACATTTATTTTCGGAAACAAGGGAAAAATTCAGTTTCAAAAATTATTTTTGCCAATGTGTGCACCGTCGGGTACAATAACATTCAACGACGTCGGATGGACACTGTCATGCTGAAAGAAAACGCCCCTGCTCACCGATCAAAGGAGATATGATAATTAATTTCCTTAAGACTAAAAATAATTTTGTTAGACGACAGCCTGCTGGCCAATGTTATTCCTTCGAGCTCTCTGAATCTTAATTCTATTAAAAATCTCTTTGCGTTAATCGAGAGAAACTGGGAGAAGCCAGCGAACCATATGTCATTGGAGTAGAATTTGTAGCTTGTGCTTAATAATCGTATAAATTAGACAACCGTTGACAACTTGGTTGTCTCTATGCCCTTCCGACTTTCTGTTGTTTTGAACGTCAAAGGACAATGAACGAACTATTAGTATGTTCCTCTTTTTAATTTTCCTTGTTTTATCGTTTTTCCTGCACTGGTGGCATTTATATAAGGACTTAAATAATTGATCTGTTGTACAGTGTTTTTATATTTGTAAGTTTTCGATAAAATAAATGACTTCTCACATAATAAATGATGCTTTATAAATCAAAATATGCTTTCCTTTTAAGATGTATTGTTCTTCTAACGCAATTTCAATTACGCATCCGTGGGGTAAACGCTGTGCGAGCCACAAGGGTTTTTATACAAAATTGACAGTTTTGCATGCATTACTCGCCATACTGTACATACAGGTCCATTAGCTATCGGCAGGGATTATTTCAATAACTGTTTTCACGACGTGCAGGCCATAAGAGAAAATACTTTTGTTACGTGGATGTACAGTCAACAGGGTATTGGAACCTACCATAAAGATGGCCCAGGTACTAAGTAAAAGACCAGTCACGTGTTTCGCCGGTATATTGCCGCTGCTTGACACAGCTGTGAGAGGTCCGGCTCGTCAGTGGGTCTCTACGCCTTCCCTGTTTGACTTCTGTTATAGGGACGCCAGCGGCCATGCAATCAGAGCCCACGGCTTCGAGTCGTGCGCACAGGCAAACGGCGAACGCCAACGACTGCTCACGCAGCGCGAGGAAT